TTTTTTTGATTATGTTGTTCTAACTTCTGTTGATGCAATGATGCAGGAGCGACTTGTGTATTGGCTTTGATTTTGATACGTGAAAATATATGGAATGAAGTTATTGGAATCTGGTGATGTCAATTTATAAGTTTTTGAATCCAATTTGTGGATTTGAGAGTGTATGTTTCTATTCGTCATGGAGTACCTACCTGTTGAGGTGATTGGGAACACACTATCCCATCTTGGAGATTCCCAATTACCAGAGATTCCCTTGCCATATATACGTATCTTTGAGTTACATTAGTATTTCAGCATTGGATCTGAATTTGTTGCTTGCAGCCTGCCCAAAGATTGAGGTGTTGGCCCTTTGGAATCCAGAGATTGCAATGTCAGATGCACAGGTAACTGTTGAACTGAACATCCTAACATTATAGAGAATATATGTTGATGCGGTAAGCCTGGATAAGTTGGGTTGCATTGAGATATTGCACTTGGAAAGATTGTGCCCTTGAGCTTTTTGAACTCATTGGAAAGGGAATATTGAAGCATTGCAAGACTGATGATGTTAGTGTTATACACATTGATATTGGTGAGCATTTATTATCTCAAAATCATAGATGTTAGCAATTCCACGATCATTCGGTCCAAGTTCTATCAGATGATTTCCAAATCGTCCAAATTGAGAAGACTTAAGGTTTGGGATGTGCTCTTTGATGATGATGATGACATTGTCGATGTAGAGATCATTTCTTGTTGTTTCCCACAGGTAAGCCATCTTGCATTGAGTTATGATTTTAGAGATTGACTTAAGAGATGGAGTGCTACACTCTGGTTTGGAAGGATTGTCTCCTTTGGAAAATGTGCTTGTATCGGAGCTTGGGTGGACTGTAGTTAATGATCTCTTTATACAGTGGGTGGCAGGTCTGTTTAATAGACGTTCAAAGTTCAAACCTGAAGAAGTTAGTCATTCATGGGGTGGTTTTAGAGGCCAAAACACATGAAGAATGTCAAAAGCTGGCCAATTTTACCTCATCCATTGTTCAGCTCAAGGTGACATATATGCTTGTAGATGTTCGATTTGAATAGGAATAGAGATCCTGTAGGATGCCTTGGTGGAACTGTGGAAAATGAAGTTCTGGATTGTCAATTGTAGAAGCACTTGCAGGTAACGTGTGCTGCATGTGGGGTCTTAGTTTCACATTGTGTTCTCTAGTTACATTCTGAATTTTTTCTGTTTGCATTTGTCATGTTACATACAATGGAATAGAATTTTATTTCCTATCCTT